CGGCTGCTTTAATTAAATCCATTTGGCTCTTGATTGGGGATTAAAATCGACAAAATACGATTCAAATGCTCACCTAGATCGGCGCCTGGATAGTCTGGTTCGTTTCACCACATAAAAGGGATAGGAGTCCGTTGGGGGATCGCTGGCGCCTATCGCAGATGCATTCATTTTACCATTTCAAAGCATAACAGTTACCGAAAAGGTTGAGCAGCACTCCACGTTCTACATTTGTTTAGTTAATTTATCAATTGGCTTATAGCGATAAGAGCAAAGGAACGTTTATTGCTTAATTCTGTCTAATCCCCCTTATCGGGGCCGCAGGTGATGAAACGTGGATGAATCATTTATTAGTCGCCTAAATCGAGCAGGAAGTTGTTGATGGTCATACCATGATACAATGAATACATTCATGGTATCATAGAGACTGTTTGGGAAGCTGATTAGTAGTCAGCGCAGACTTTGGTTCATCTAAGGACTCAGTGACTCAGAATGACAAAGCTTCGTGTATCCCAGAGACAAAAACTAATTAAATTTCTCCCTTTTCTGGCATTTCCATGGAAATTCACAATTTAAAGCAACTACTGGGCCGTGAGGAACGTAAATAAAATGACAGGTCACTATAAAAACAGTATTGTTTATTAAATATCAAAAGCTCACTCAGGTGTCTTAGAACTGCAAATGCAATTTACATAAATTCGTCCTATCACATCCTAAGCGATAAATCAGAAAAAGGGGTAAAATTAGTGAGGGGAAAAGCTGGACTCATCACCAAAAGGGGCCCGAAGAGAAGCCGCCGGGTGGCACCCGGCCAGCAGCTGCAGGTGCTTCGGATTTGGGCTGAGGCTGCGTCTGAGGCTGCGGCTGGGGCACCGGCGCTTTAGGGGCTGCAGGGCTCTGAACCCCTGCGTTAGTTCCTTCGGTGATGGAGGAGGCATTTCGGCCAGAGTCGCGCTTCACTGGAGGATCAGGGGCCCCAAAGATGTCCGTATGTCCACCACCGGGAGGTTTGATTACTTTACTGGAGTTCTTGTTGCCGTGCATGCCTTGGAAGACGTTGGTGGAAGTCATGTTGGATTCTGTAAACAAATTTTTGTTTTCTGTGAGATTCATTGTAGTTTTATCCGGTTTAGACCGGTTAGGGCTGGGCGGTGCATGGGGATTTTCCCCATGGGGATCCCTAGGGCTGCAAGGGCGACCGAGTCCACAAATTGGGGATGGGTTTACTGTCGCAACACTTACCTTTGTTGAAAAACCGTTAGGGACAATTTTAAACAATTTTAATTTGGTTGTTTGACAGTAATCGAACGGTGAAGTGATCTGAAATTTGCAACTGCGAGCGTGTGCGACACAACCAACTTTGAGGAGTGAAAATGACACGCAATATTCGCCGGTACCAACTGCAATGAGCGCGATCGAAGCGAAGTGTTCGGGAGAAAAGGATGGCAATACCCATGGGGACAACTTTTATTGTTAAATCTTGTTCAGGGTTTAAAAAGTATCCTAATCTTTTCACAATTTTTACAGAGCGACTGAAAATTGATATCTGCATCACAGTGAAGGTATTTTAAAACTGTGTTCTGCAAAACTTGTATGTTTGCTTGATGTTGTGAATGTATTACACTCTGCTTTGGCTGGTAAAATAAATATTAGGTGTAATTAATTAATCAGAAACTTGTCAAAAACCCAGCTTACTCCCAAAGTTTACCCGTAAATACGTTCGTGATATTTATAACTGCTGCGCCCAAGGGCGCCCATTAGCTGTGGAAAGTCGCGAAGTTGCCATTTGGCAACCAGGCCTTCCAGGCGATTTTCCATTAGGTTTGCTACCTAGCTCGATCATCCATTCAGCGATTGAAAACCGACTTTCTAAGTCCACTCCCGCTAAATTCGAGCAATTAATCGAAAAAAACTTGACGATAGGGATGAATGAAGGATTTCCGTTCAAATTTGCCGCGAAAAAGTTGCGCAGTTGCCACGCGTTTGCCCTTGTTGTGAACTGAAACTCCATCTGCGAGCGTTGTTGTGAATTCAATATGGCGATAACAATTCTATGTTGTGTCTGTTAATAAAACCCAAAGCACGTTTAGTGAATGTATTGGTGCATTTTCGGGCATTGTTCGGTCGATTTTCTCGTATAAATTCAATGATTTGTACATGAGAGTGGCGATTTTGTGACAGTGTAGGGTTAAAACTGCTGTGTGAGTGCCAAGAGATGTGTACACAAAGGCTCTGATTAGTAAAAGGGGCTAAAAAGTATCCTTCACACCGTACATATTCGAGGTTGTTCCAAGCGGTGCCACTGTCCCGACAAGCTGGTGCTTCTGGTGTTCAAATCGGCTAAGGTGAGTGTTGAAATTCTAGTGTTTGGTGTTGCTTATATTATGTCATTTTTTTCCTAATTTCCATTATAGGCGGAATGTGGGAAACTTGCCAGTACATCGAAAAGGATTAAGCTAAGCCAGAGTCATGACGGACACTAGGAGAAGAGTGAAATTGTATGCACTTAATGCTGACCGCCAATGGGACGACAGAGGCACTGGACACGTATCTTCCTCCTATGTGGACAGGCTAAAGGGGATCTCTCTGTTAGTGCGCGCCGAAAGCGATGGTTCTTTACTGCTTGAATCGAAAATACAGCCGGACACTGCTTACCAGAAGCAACAGGATACTCTAATTGTCTGGTCGGAAGGTGACAATTTCGATTTGGCGCTGAGTTTTCAGGAAAAGCTGGGCTGTGATGAAATTTGGGAGAAGATCTGCCATGTTCAGGGCAAAGACCCTTCAGTGGAAATCACTCAGGTACTGTTCACTTTCCCTTCTTCAACCCCGTTTATCTAGGACGGTCTAGTTCTAGTCACCACACTTAAAATCAATCATTCACGCTAAGGTTTACCAGTTGAAGCCCACTGGTAACTTCGTGTGTTTCCCTGCACGTCACATTTTTTCCCCAAACTCCTGCTCCTACCCTCAATTGCGTGGTTTTTTCCCAGTACAATTTTTTAGCTTGTGATCAGCTTTCAGAGCATGACGCTGACTTGGATTAGTTGACCATCACCGTACTTGTTTACGTTTCACACATTAAAGTCAGTTCTTAAACTTGTTTCCTTCTCCGCACTCAATTGAACAGTTTTGAAGATTATTTTCCGTCCACATTTGCAGGACATTGTGGAGGAGTCTGAAGATGAACGGTTTGATGACATGCCTGATTCGGCGCCACCAATTGAACTGCCCCCTTGCGAGTTCAATCGGCTGGAGCAGATCAGCGATTTGATCAGCAACTGTTTAACGACCCCCATGAAGAAGGAGAAATTGGCGGCCGCGATCGAGAGCGACGGATACATTCGTAAATTGGTCAATGTGTTTCATATGTGTGAGGACTTGGAGAGCACCGAGCGCTTGTATCATCTATACGACATTTTTAAAAATATCTTCTTGCTTAACAAGAACGCGCTCTTCGAGACAATGTTCAGCGACGATCTGATCTTTGATGTTGTCGGATGTCTCGAGTACGATCCGTCATCGCCCACACCGAAGCGGCACCGGGAATACTTGAAGAAGCAAGCGAAATTCCGAGAAGCCATTCCGATTAAAAACGCGGAACTGCTGGCGAAGATCCATCAAACATTTCGGGTTCAGTACATACAAGATGTGGTGCTGCCGACTCCTTCAGTGTTTGAGGAGAATCTTCTCTCGACGTTGAGCAGCTTTATTTTTTTCAACAAGGTGGAAATTGTCTCATTGGTGCAGGAAGACGAAAAGTTCCTCACTGAACTATTCTCCATGCTAACGGACCTGAACATCCTGACTACCAAGCGCCGCGACTTGGTGCTGTTCTTGAAGGAGTTTTGCAACTATTCCCAGAATCTCCAGCCTCCTGGCAAGGAAACCTTCTATAAGACTCTGAGCTCTTTAGGAATTCTACCAGCGTTGGAAATCACTTTAGCTACAGACGATCAGAAAACTAAGACAGCGTCCATAGACATTTTGACTTACATTGTGGAATATTCACCGTCGGTGGTCAGAGAGTTCACTTTGCAGCGCGCAACTAACACAGATGTGGTAAGTGGATGAATGAACTCTACGTCCGTAATGAGCAGCTGCGACGCACATTTTCCAGGATCATATTCTTCTCAACATCATCGTCGACCAAATGATATGCGACTCGGATCCCGAGCTAGGTGGCGCCGTGCAGCTGATGGGCGTGTTGAGAATTCTGCTGGACCCGGAGAACATGCTGGCTTCAGTGAACAAGTCTGAGAAGACGGACTTTCTCAATTTTTTCTACAAGCACAGTGTACAGATTTTGATCAGTAAGTGCTGTCCTTTCAAGTCATCGGGTCTCTTTAGGACTGGCTTTCGTCCATAGGCCCCTTACTGGAGAACACGGAGAACGACACTCCCCAAAAGGAGGACTATCACAACGTGCAACTCCTGGGCCTGATTCTCGAGCTGCTGTCCTTTTGCGTGGAACATCACACGTACCACATCAAGAACTGCATATTAAATCGGGATTTACTGCGGCGCATCCTCGTCCTGATGAAATCTACGCACAAGTTCCTCGTCCTTTGCGCCCTAAGGTACGTTTTACACGCTTAAACTTATTGGAGTTGTATTGTGCAATTGTTCATGTGTAGATTCATGCGCAAGCTGATAGCCTTGAAGGACGAGTTCTACAATCGCTACATCATCAAAGGCAACTTGTTTGCGCCAGTTGTGGACGCGTTTATCCGCAACCAGGGCCGCTACAACCTTCTGGACTCTGCCATCATCGAGATGTTTGAGTTTATCAAACTAGAGGACATAAAGACGCTCTGCTCGCATGTGGTTGAAAACTATGGACGGCGATTGGACGACATTTGCTATGTGCAAACATTCAAAGCATTGAAGCTGCGCTACGATCAGCACCAGGATAAGCTCAAGGAGCGCAATAGCTTAGACGGGTACGTTTTCGGCTTGCGACTGGCAAAACTCGGTCTAATCCGGGCATTTTCAGCGTTCCCTCGATACTGCGGAACAGTCGGTATCGGCGCGACCAACGCCAAATGGAGGAGGAAGAGGAGATGTGGTTCAATGAGGACGACGACTTTGATGACGGCTCTTCAGTGCTCAACTCCTCAACTGATCCACCCGAATGTATGTCAGATAATTTCGAGTACTCGAAAAAGCTGGACTCGCACCTGGAAAGCATAGGGGGTAAATTTTACAGTGAAGTGATCCATTGATAGGAAAACGGCGTGTTTGTTCTAGTGTTGGAAAAAAAGTCCATGCTAGAATCCAACTTGGAAAGCATAGGGAGTAAAGCGGCCGACAAACGGGTTCTCTATTCGGCCACCCAGCAGGCCAATGCGATTGAGGCGAACGGCCCGAGCAAACAGGTGAGATTTTTATAAATTCAACAAAAGTTGAAACTTTCTATTACATTTTTATCGTTCCTGGGTCTCAGTCAAAGTGGGAAGTAAAAATTTTGAATATCGTTGATTTCATTACGATTTTACAAAATTTACACAAACTCATAATTGGTAAACATTAACGTTCTTTTAGGTCTTTGCCTTTAAGGTTTCAAGAAGGCAAAGACCTAAAAGAACGTTAATGTTTACCAATTATGAGTTTGTGTAAATTTTGTAAAATCGTAATGAAATAAACGATATTCAAAATTTTTACTTCCCACTTTGACTGAGACCCAGGAAAGATAAGAATATAATAACAATTACACGCAGTCAGGAAAATAAATCAGAATAGTTGAAACTTTGTTTGATGCTGCCATTGTTGCAGGCTAACAACAATTCGACGTCGCAAAAGGCGATACAAGCGCAACAGCCAATAATTAACAACAATGCGACGGCAGCAACGCCGACGCCCTCGACGGAAGCGCCCACAGTAAACGCACAAGCGATCGGCGACGGAAAAGTTTCCCTTTTCAAACGGGTATGGGTAAGATGTGGCCAATTCACTATTACTAGATAAATGTAGGCTGAAACTATCGCTTCCATCCCAATCGCCTTAGGAAAATCAGTTATTTGAGGAATTTTTGTTTCTTGTTTTAGGGTTTGGTGGATTACGAAGGCGGCGATTCGGACGAAGATGAAGAAACGACAGACGCAGGCGGGGGAGGAGGAGGAGGCGGTGGTGAGGAATCCACGAGCAAACGGCCCCGCCTTTCGTAGTGCTCCTATCCAGTTCCCTAGGGAACGCTCAATTGCGTCAGCCAGGAGGTGAGTGAAAGACGCGAAAAAATGAACCTAATCACATATTTAAACGAACAGCAAAAATAAATCGTCAAGCATCCCAGTGTAGTTCTTACTGGCCCTTTCACTTAAACCGTTTTCTCTTGCCACATCTGTCTGTTACTGAACATCGTCGTTTGGTTTTCTAGGTGAGCTGGAGCAATAGTGCAACACCTCGGACTCTAAAAAAACAGTTACTCAGTGTTAATAGTTACGAATCGGAAGGACTACAACGGGAAAACTAGACAGCATTTGTGAATTACGTAGCATAAGCGGTATATCTAAAGGTAGATACCATTAGTTGTAATGTGAACAAAAAAGTGTGGGTAGAATCCGTGAAGGGGACTGTATAAATCGCCCGCCCTGTAATAGTGTTGACTTTGGTGGTGCACTCTAGATCAGTTTTCAGAAATGTCAATAGCTAAGAGTTGTATATATTGTCAATTCATCATTACGCTATGGTTCATTATGAAAGCGCTTGATGCGTAAGCATCAATCGCTCTTTATAGGGTAAAGGGGAGCAAGAGAGGCGATAGCAATCTCGGACAAGTCAAGGTAGCTCTGAGGGCGTGTCAGACAGATGTATCACGAACACTTTCCATGCATGTACCATGTACATAATCCCTCATTTTTAATGCTTCCGCTCTTCTGTCGCCTCTCAATCGTTTTCCTTGTACATCCAGTGTAAATAGTATTCACTATATTGGTCTCTTGATTTGTTCTAGTGTAACAAATGCCTGTATAAAGCTGAAAATTGTGAGTTTTCCCGTAAGTTTTCCCCATGTACAGTACATGTTTTCTTTATGCGTGGAAAACTGTTCCTTGTGTTAATAGGACTTGCAGTCCTCCCTCTAAGTTTAGTTGATAGAGCGCATTGAAAAACACGCAAGTTTTTATAAAAAAATTGTTACTTCAAATCAGAAAAAAGACGAACTTTGTGTATACGGGGTGGCCATTTTCTGAATCTTTCTATGGGTAACTTCTGCATTTTTAAAGATAGGGAATCCGTTAAATGGGCAAAATTGGGCAGAATTCGATAGCCTATTCATTACCGTTTTCAAAATTTAGGTACCCGACTTGGTTCCTGAAAAGACAAAAAATCAACACTTTTTTAATTATCACTTTTTACGTAAACTGCTTAACATAGAAAAATGTTAAAACTGCCCTCAGTACAACTTTTTGCCTTGAATCCAATAAACTAGCACTCGGTATCATAGTTGGCTGTGGGCCTTTTAAATGTTTTATTTTTGTCTGAATTTAATGATATAATTGTTTGTATGTTTTTCTCCTTTTGTTGCCGTAAAACTTCAAAGGAAGATAGAAAATGTGTAGTAGGCTATGGAAACAAGGACTATATTATCACACAAAGGACAAAACGATAATGAATCGTTTAAATTAAATGTTCAAATTGACTTCCGTTTACGTCCAAGCATTTTTTTGGCATCTTCACGATCAACTCGTGAGTGAACTATCATGTTGAAAATATGCCAATTTTCGATACGATGCTAACGGAAAACTATGTCTAAGTTCATTTGGTAAAAAATGTAAATATATTTCCATATTTAAATTGTGATTATAAAAGAATGGATCAATCATTTTATCACTAAAAATGCCTCACCAGACATTCACAAAAAAGACACGTTGATCCCGCCTATTTTCCATTAGATGATGATTTTCATTAGCCCAATAAACGTGATTGTGTCTGTTAATTATTTCATTTTTGTTTTGTGCTTTGTGTGATAGTATAGTTCTTGTTTCCATAGCCTACTACACATTTTTTATCTTTTGAAGTTTTACGGCAGCAAAAGGAGAAAAACATACAAACAGTTATATCGTTAAATTCATTCTATAATTACCATTTAAAAAACAAGTTTATTTTTTATCTCGTAAATCAAGTTGACTATGACAACGAGTGCTAGTTTATTGAATTCAACGCAAAAAGTTCTACCAAAGACAATTTTAACTTTTCTTCTAATTTAAGCAGTTTACGAATTATATGATAATTAAAAAAGTGTTGATTTCTTGCGTTTTTAGGACATTTCAGGAACCAAGTCGGGTACGTAAATTTTGAAAACGGTTTTGCCCATTTAACGGATTCTCTATCGTTAAAAATGTAGAAGTTACCCATACAAATGCAGAAAATGGCCACCCTGTATAGTCAAGTGAATCGGAGAACTTAGGGGAACATTCCGAAACTTCCACCAAAACATTGGGGTTGCACTTTTTCTACGCCAGAAAAAACCTGCTAGAATCTACTTCCAAACTGGTAGGAAAATCAGTATCATTTTACTTGCTTGGTATGTCTTAGAATTGCATTTAATTTTTTTTCCCGTGGTCTTGAAGGCGATTTATTCTTAAACGAATCATGTTTTGTTTGATCAGATGCGCCCTTGTATTTTTATACCAGCCACATCATAACCATTTTCAGCTCCGTTTCCTGCAATAAATCCATGTTTTGAGAAGGTTGTAATATAAAATATGTACTCGTTATATTTAGGTAAATATATATAAGATGAAAGTGAACACCGAAGCGACTAATTCCCTTGTTTCTCAATAACCTCGGCCTTCAAGCGCTCCGCGAGTGTTTTGCGGATTTGCAGCTCGCTGGCCCGAATGCCGCCTTTAGCCCCATTCAGCACAGCTTCAGCTGCTTTGGCTGACTTCGGCCGGTTTCTAGCCTTCGAGGCAGCTTCGCTGCTTAGCTGCTTTTGACGCGCTTCCTTTTTCATGGCAACCAGCTTGTCTCTTTGCGCCCGCAGGTACTCCTGGCGCTTCCTCAGCTCCGAAGCGTCCACCTAAAATCGGCGTTTTTGCAACACAAAGGGTGGTTTTTAGCAAGGTTTACTTGCCTCTATGGGCTTGAAGTTGGCGGGTTTTTCTGGCGCTTTGTCCACGGTTTCGTCCACGAATGTCACTGCAAAATTTCGGTTCAAAACGATTTCAATGGGAATAACCGTAGCTTACCTCTAGTTGCCTTGAGTTTTTGCTGCAAAATGGGCTTTTGCTCGATTAGTTCCTCGATCTCCATTGCAGATGTGGATGGGGCTTCTTCAGCAAAGCGTCTGGGTTTAAAGTGGTTAGTTAACTTTTCGTAAATATGGATTTTATACACACTTCAGCTGAATGGGTGAAAGTGTTACTTAACTCGCGGTTTTTGCGAAAGGCTGTAAAAGATTGGCTTTTTTTTTTAAGAAAGCACCGTCCAGTAAACATTCAAATAATTCGCGCAACTAACAACAACGGCCTCCTTCAAACCCTTACTTAGCAACCTCCTCCAAAATCTCCCTCTCCAGCTTGGACTCCCGCTCCACTATGACCGAAGCTGACTCTGGTTGTGGCTCAGCTTCGCCCCCTTTGGGCACAAACGACTGAGGAGTGATGCCATACTTGCGCTCAATCAGCTCCAAGGCTTGAAGCTGCAGCTCCACATTGCGCTCGGTCATCATTCTCACGAACATTTGGAAATCGTTGGCAGCCCAGATCTGCTCGAAGATGTTCTAAGGCCAACGCAGGAAGACGTGCAAGAAGATCCTCAGCAGGATCAGTTTTAGACTTACGTTTTCGAATGAGGCAGGATAGCGTTTGCCTTCAGCGCACGCTTCTTGGAACTGCTGGGCGCTGATTCCGATGTCTTCCATGAAGGTGCCCAGCATGAAGTCCACCTGAAGAACGCCCCAATGAAAGGATTGTGGCTCTTAAACGAATTGACCTACCAGATTTTTGAATTCTTCGAAAATTGCCTGGTATTGCTCATTATCTGGAGCGTTTGGCTCGAAGACTGCAACAGGGATTAATGCGGAAGGGGAGACTTAAGGAGGCTCGGAGCGGCCACTTACTGAGCGATTTTTCTTCAACGAAGCTTTGCAGGGGGGCGTTCCATATGGGGCCGTTCAGAAAGGCTACCAGCGAGTCAAAGACCCATGAAGTATCTTCGGCCGACATTGTTGGAGTCTAATGGGGGAATGTTTGTATTTCGCGCTTAGAACGTTACTATGGGGAGGGCTTGGACCAAAATTGACATTTTTTTATTTTGCCTAAAACCAGTTGAATCCTCAAAAGGCTCCTCCATTCACTGATGTTAGATTACTTGATTTTCTGGTCCTAATCTTCTGAGCTTGTACATGTTATATTTTCGTGGCTTAGAGACGTCTATTAGCAAGGGCGGATCCAGGGGGGGGTCATGACCCCCTGATTCAATTCTCTATCCAACGATGCCAAAACGAATTCTCTGGCTCAAATGGTTCTTGAGAAACCTCGAAAAAACCAGCGTCATGTTCAAGTGGATTTTGCAACTAAAAAAAAAACCACGCAAATCTAAAACTTCTTGAATTCAAGCCTTTTTTGAGAAAACTGCCAACATTTCCTCATCCATGGTTCACCTTCTAGAAAGGCCATTTATTTATCTCTAGAATGATGTACAAATGAGCGTTCTTGCTCATTTTGCCTCCGAGATATGAGCAAAAACGGATCGGAAAACATGAAATTTTGGCATAAACTTGAACCTAAGTGTTTGATATTCAAATTTCGCTTTCTGGGTCAAAACTTCTCGAATTTCCTCACTGACGTTGTTACGACTGAATCGACTTTTCAATTCTCTATCCAACGATGCCAAAACGAATTCTGTGGCTCGAATGGTTTTTGAGAAACTTCGAATAAA